ATATATATATATATATATATATATATATATATATATATATATATATATATATATATATACTAAATGGGGTAAAATATAATATAAAATTAAAAGAAATTTCGATTCCTTAGTCTGCTATTATTAATTATTAATTGATTATGTCTAATACATGGAACAGAACAATTAAATACAGTTGTGTTTCCTTCTAATCAAAGTTCTCTATTGCTTTATTCTGCAAGAGATTCGTTTCAGATCCCAAATTAATTGCAATTTAATTATGTTTTCCTAGAATGGTATATTTCCAAAAAAAAATTAAAATATATTTTCTTCTAATTACTAATATACTTTAGTTATTGTAATTAGAACTATCATTATAGATCAATAATTACCGATTTTAGTGATATTCATGATTTATTACTATTATTTATAGTAACATATAGTAACATTATGTTAAATCTGCAATATGTATTAAAAGTGAATTATATATGTAATATATATGCATCCCTTTTTTTAAAATAGATTCCGGAACCAAATGAAATAAAATATATATGTATTATAAGTGTTTTTTAAATATATTATGTTTGTTTCGTAAGAAATTGATACATCGTTGTAAGTGTATCAAAATACGTAATAAATGTATTATCCATCAATAAAATTGGTACTATATGTGAATGAATAATTTTCTTTGTAATATGAATTAAATTGTATTATAAATATATAAAAAGATCAAAGTCAAAAAAATATTAATGTTATAGATGATAAATATCTTTTTAATATGATATATAAATTTTCCATTTTGAAAATTTAACGATTTGGATTGGGCCGGCCCACCATAACCACTTGCTTTAAAATGACCGGCCCATCTTAATAGGTTTTGGGTGTGTGTGTGTATATATATATATATATATATATATATATATATTATGATTTAAAAAAAATTATATTCTAACAAATGCTAACATAAATATTCATAAGACAATGTTACGTTGTGTTTCTTATACAAATAATATTTGTTTAGTACAAATTATACTTTTTCAATTGTTTTTTGTATTGGATTGTTGGTCAATATCTATCATTACTATTATTATCGTCGTTAACCACGATCATTACTAATCATCACAGTTGTCAATCTTTATGGTTAGTCGTTACTATATTTATTCACCTTCAACATAGTAATTCTATCCATTACCACCACCATTATCGACCAACATTAGCGTCATCAACCGTCAAATGTGATCACCAACCATCTCTTTCATCATAATCATAATATAACGATCACTATCAACATACAGATAGTAGCTAGCTGCTATACCTATCACATCCATCATTATAATTATATCTACGACCACGACCAACATCATTCTCACTACCACCTTCACCGCTATTACTAGTTATCTATCACCATTGCGATCAAATGTTTCTACTATCACCCACCTCGACCATCATAATTATCTAGTATTATATATATTGGTGTCAGCTATCACAAACGCGTTATCAAACACCATTTACATTCTTCGGTCACAACCATTAATACCACCAACTACTAACATCACTAAACTTTACTCTCACAACCATCTTCATCACGTTAAATTATAGAAATAAATAGTTAATGATATATTTTATTTTATTTAGTAGTTAAATATTATTTTATTATTTATAAGAGAAGAGGCTAGGGATTAGGTTTTTCTAACTTTCTTTATCTTCAACGTTCAAACATTCTAAACTTTATAAGTCGTTTTCATTTTGGGTAAGCAATCTGTTGAAGAAATCGTGTCTAAGGAACAATCACCTCATTATTAAATAATGATTAAAGAATTTAGGTTTAATTCTTTTTTTAAAAAAATTATCTAAAAACACATCTTATTTTATTATTAATATTTAAGAATTTCTATCATTTAAAAGAAAATCAAAATTTCTTCTCGGAGAAGTACTAAAGTTTCCACATTTATTATTTCTGTTAATTCAATTCAATTTCTGAAACGCGCATGTGGTACTTTATTTTAGTTATTTAAACATAAGGTAAATAGAATAAGCTAAGGGTATGATCGTAAATATATAGTGTATTTTTTAAAACAGTTTCAGATGAAAAGTTTAAATAATATTATTGTAGTAGATTAAATGTACGATTAATAACCGTTTCAAATTATTAATCTTTCATTAATAATCTTTGTACCGTTAGTTCACATGCAACTAATTTTTTCATGACTTGTTTCTAAATAAAATGTCGCTTCCATGTGTTAGTTCGTTAGCTATGAATAAATATTTTAAAAAATTATTCAACTATATAGTATTAATTAATAAAGTTTTGTTAGAAAAAAAACGTTTTTAAAAAATAAGTTGATATTGTTCATGTTATATACAATCTTAAATCAATGCTAAAGTCGATCTTTAGCATCTATACTACATAAATATTTATCTAAAAGTTGAGTCAATTCATTAATACAAAACTAACTTGAAGTGACTTTACTAAAAGTTTTAATTTTGTATAACTCCATAAATATTTTAATAATATCTCAGAATTGTCTCATGATGTTCATTTTTTATATATTAATATATGAGAAAAATATGTAATTACATGACTTAAAATTATATAATCTTTACAAATATCTATCATTTGAATTAATTATAAAAATCTCATTTCTCCTTCTCTCTTAATATGAAGAATCCTAATACATCAATCCTCCTCGGTAATATGGATTATAATTGTTTTTGTGTACTTATAGTTGATATATAAACTCAATTATTTCAAACCTAAATTGGTATGAATATTTTGATTTATAGTTATGTATTATTTACTATGTATTAGGGGCAAGAAATAATGTATCCGCGAATTTTGAAAAATAAAAGATAATTATAATTAAAACAACTTTTTGGATAAAATGTCATTAACGCTCAAATTATTGGAGTTTTTGTACTTTATGCTTAATATATTGGCTTTTAGAGGTCCAATTTACTCTCTTGTGACATGCTAGTCTCCAAATCGTTTCATAAAGTATTAAAGTTTGACCTTTCGAAATCATATTTTTTTATAATTAGTATTCACTAATCGCATGATTTTTAATTGCCATGTGATTTGATCTATTATATAAATAGACAATTGCTTGTTTAAATTTGAAGTAATTTAATTTAGGAAATGATAAATCCTCTTTCATATCGTACACTTGACTATTTTAATGTAATGATTGTTACAATGTTATTATTTTTTGATAATTAAGTAACTTTTTATTAATCACTAAAGTGATCAGATCAACACAATCTGCTCTGTTTATCTCCGAAATAAACTACAAAT